TTTATTCACCTTTACCAATAATGCATTGCACTCCAAAATCACCCACTTGATCCACAGACACTTTCTAATGACATGAGACAGCACCTAGGAGAGAGGGTGGGGCGTGGGGGGTGACACAAATCCCCACGTAGCGCAGTGTCTCTGGGTGGACCTGGAAACGCACAAGTGCAGCCTGGCTGGAGGCTGGAAGGATGGTAGTTTAAGGCGTTTCAAACCAAGAATCTTCTTTTCATTTCCTCCCCAACCAATAAACCAGAAAAAAGAAATCACTGGGAAGGGTGGAGGAAAAAAGGGAAAGTAACAATAGATCATTGTTGAAAAGGAACAGCAGACGTTCCAGGAACAAAGCCACCGGTGAGGTAAGAGGAGAAAGGAGTTCCAGAGGCCCTAGAGGAAGGGCCTTGGGGGCACGGGCTCGGCTGCTGCTATGCCCCTCACCCCAGCACCCCCTCTCCAACCCCATCCAGGCTCCTGGTTATGAGCAATCTTTTTTTGGTGTTTTGTTTGTTTTTGTCAGGATTAATGTTTTGATTATGAAAATCAAAGGTGGAGTTGTGATACATTCTGTGGGCAATAATAGCAATTTTTGCCTCTTTTTAAAACAATCAAATCTCTGCCTTACAGTTACTCTAGCATACTGGAAAATCAAGAGCCAAGAGTTTATAGACAGATGCATAGAAACAGAAATGGCGCAGCTGTGTGTGCTTTACCGCCGACTCCTATGGTAAGGTGAGTCTCAGGTCCCGTTATGACCATTAAAAGTCTCCCTGGCTGGACCCAGGTGGGGCGACAACAGATGCTGACTAAAGACTTACTGTGTGTTGAGCACCCTGGTTGTAAAGAAGAATAAGACACTGGCCTTGCTCTTGCAGAAGAGACAGCCACCGAACAGCCAGTTATATGTGATGTGGGCGGTAATGGCACAATGAGATATGTGGTAAGTTATATAGGGAGGTGGTTGTTAGCACTGATGGCAGCGTGGGGTGCATCAGGGAAGACTTCCTGGAGGAAGTGGCTAGCACCTGACAAGACTTTTAAGTATGAAAGAAAACTGGCCAAGTGAATAAGATAGAGGAGGGTATTTAAGGTAGCGGGGAACAGAATATGCTAGGGCAAAAAAGGCAATGTTTGAGCAGTATGAGTTGTTTGCTATTTCTTTGGAATAAGCAGCAAGACAGGAAGTGGAATTGCATAACTAGAAAGAGGGCGGACAAGTTTAAGACTTTGAATTTGAACTTGAGGGCAATAATGCACCGGCATAGGATAATAAAAGGGGATGCACAGAGGGCGTGAGAGCACACCGATCAGATGTGTGTTTCAGAAAGTCTACAACTTGGTGGCAACATGGAAGGTAACCAGGTGAGGCCTGACCCCAGTGAAGCTGCTGGAAAATTCTAGGTAAGAGAATAAGCCGAGTGATGGTAGGGCTGAAGAGAACTGAGCTTGAAATCCATGTATTTTATTTCTCCTTTCTCTTTAGTTTTCAAGACTGATCTTCCCTCATCCCAGAGGGCAGCACCAACTTCAGGTCATACCTACTCCTGAGCCTGACCTTGGGGCCCAGCAGGTGAAGGGGGTCCTGGTCCAAAGCTCCTCAAACACCGTTGCCCTAGCTGGGCTTGCCTCCAAGGAAAATCCCAAAGAGTGGTAGGATCTTAAAATGCTGAGCCACGAGTCCTTCCCAGCAAAGTCGGCTTTTGGACCCTCTACCTCCACTCAAGAGGATTTCCACTCAGTTCTTTTCCCCAGGTCACTGGCCAGGTATCAGAGTGTCCTTGGAGGCCCTAGGTGGTTCACAGAGTCTGGGAGCTGGTCACTACCAGGAGGGAAAAAGTGGCGGGTGGGGGGGTTCCTGCAACTTCCTTGCCACAAGGAAACCAACCTGCAAGAAGGCCCTGTTTGGGGATAGGCAAGACAGAGGACCTGGGGCTGAGAAGAGAGAAAAGGGAGCAGCATCGTTGTTGTTCGGTGGGGTCCCTCTGGATCCGGACGGTGGAGCATCTCCCCCCTCATTACCATCTCAAAGGGGGAAGAAAGGCGCTGTGTGAGCTGGCTTCCCCCCTTAACTGCTTTCTCCTCTTGGGAGACAGTCCCACAGTGAAGGAGAGGCTGGGCAGGGGCCCGACAAAGGCAGCCCAGGCTCTGCCAAAGCCGCCCAAGGACAGTGGGGCTGGCCCGCCCCCTGCTGGCCGCTCCCGAGAGCAGGGATAGGAATCTGCAGGGGAGGATCAGGATTCTGAGATGTGGCATCCATTTGGAGAAAGTTAGGAATGTGCTGAGATTATGAGAGGTTAGGAAGTTTGCAAAGAATGTAAAATGGAGTTCTGAATAAGAAGCTGATGTGCCTGCGGACAGGAAGATTCTATCACAAACAACTGATGAATGAAGAGCCAACTTCCAGGTAAGTGAATGAGTCTCAGCTTCTCACTTCTTTTTTACCCACTGAGGGGCAAGCAAAAAGACTGCCGTTCTCAAGGCCTGATTAAAATGTGGGTATATGCACATGACTGAAAGATACTGGGAGAAACTCCTGTAGCCAAAATTGTGTCCCCCCCAGTGAGCAAAGCCTAAAATTTACACGCTGGTCACAGCTGCGGTTGCAGAGACTGAAGAAGACGTGAGTCCAACTATCCTTGGCAGAGGCCATTCACTGCATTTCAACCTCCTTCATTGTGCCCTGACACCACACTGCACGACCTGTGGGCACCGAGAGGACACGGATCAGTAAGACCCAACTCTGTCACCCAGGAGCTAGCAGGGAAGAGTGACCAGCAGAAAACCCCATCACACTGGGGAAACCCTAATCCACTCTGTCCAATATCGGCGTGAAGGATTAAACAGGCAAGCCTCCATGGGCCTGCTGTCAGAATGATTAACACTGCACAGAAGGTCACAATGGTCTATGGCAATAATATACACTTCCTGTCTGCCGGCACTTTTGTATTAACTCAGGTTTTAATCCTGTTTACATTTATTGACTCCGCCAGGCAGGTATTATTATTATTCCCATTTGGGTATAGTGACTTGCAAATGTCATATAGGTACAACGGCAGAGAGGTTGGATTTGAACCCCGAAAGCTTAGCTCTGAAGTCTGTGTTTAACCACCGCACCATGGTGCCGTTTATTATCTCATCCTCCAAAGAGGAAGTAAGTTTCCCGACAAATAGTTTTTAAGTGCCTGCCCCTCACCAAATCATGGCAAACCCTGACTAAGCCAGGGATTACACAGTCAGCAGAGAACACTCAAAATCAAGGTCAGGCACTGGGTTAAGGAGAAACAGAGGACTGGCAAAAAGACCATGCAGGCATTCTGATTCCCAGGTGGACAGCCAGCGGGACTGCACAGGCAAGAATCCTTGGAGGCAACATCTCCGCCGAAATCACTCCCTAAGCTCAGAACCTAGATGCTGGTTTACATAAGCACACAGGCAGAGATGAACAAAAACCCTGAAGCAAACAGACAGTGCAACTTGATCAGAACAGAGGCTACACACAGGACCACACTGGTGGAGGCAAAGTGATTTCTTGGCATGAAAGTAAAGACTGACATATGAACCTGTTCAAGATGCTTTAATGGTGACTGTATTGAATATATATTTTAAACTATAAATATCTTCCACTCAATCATCACCATCCTGAGTTACCTTCTCAAGGAACAAATGTATGCACACACATGTATGTTACCATGAATTACAGTGCATCTGGTGTGCTTCGAGAACTGGATGCATTAATTCATTCATTTAATACATATTTACTGGGTGCCTACTATATGGCAGCCTTTGGAGACACAGGCCTGCGACCTTGCTCTCCAGCCCCCAAGGTCACCCGAGCATGAGTCGACTGCCAGAACTGCCCTGGGTGGGGAGTTGCCACGTCTCCGAGTTTTCGCTCACTTCTTGGGCTGCAGAATCTACAAATAGTGATATTTATCGCCTGTCGACCAAAAACATGGAATAGAGACTTACTCTCTGACGGCAGCTCCATGTGAGAAGGGCCTGTTCACCACTTACCTGAGCACCTGAGGCTGTGTCGTGCACTAGTTACCTGCTCTCAGTAATTACCTGGGGAACAAACCCTGCAATGCCCCGGGGAGCTTACCATGGAAAGAGGCTGGAAAGCATGTCACCTCTGTCCCCCTTCGGTGTTAAGAGGCCAGACTACCAGGACATGTAAGAGCTGAGATGCAAACTCGGGCACCCTGGTCCCAAGGGTTTTAATAAGGGCCGTGGACCTGTGTGGGTTTCTTTTAACCTTACAGAAACCTCACTTAACGACAGCAGGTGGGGGTGGGGGGAGGCAGGGGAGGGGAAGGATACATGAGGCTGGAGAGGTTACAGGTCTCAAAATTTTTCCTGTTTTTAGAAGGGTAAGATGGTGCATATACAATATATTATATATTATACAACACTTGCAGTTGGGTCCGGTCAGCACCTCCCATCAAATGCATTAGATGTTTGCATCAGCCCCGGCTGGGTGGCTCAGTTATTTGGAGCACCCTACTGTACACCAGAAGGTTTTGGGTTCAATCCCCAGTCAGGGCGCGTAAGGGAGGCAACTGGTCCATATTGCCTCATCGATGTTTCTTTCTCTCCCTCCCCGCTCCCCCACCACCTTCCTCCCTCTCTCAAATCAATAAATATACCCTCGAGTGAGGATTTAAAAAAATATTTGCAGCAAATCATATGACCAAGCACAGTGAGTGGTATAATGAAGACTATTATGGTCTCACTTTCCTTTCGATCAGGCTTGGCTGTCAAATAGATAATAACATTTTTTAGTTTTTAGAGCTTCTGGGATTTGCAGGTGAGGGAGCGTGGACCGAAGACAAAGTAGGTGCCATGTACCTGGTATGCTGTCACCACATGGCAACTATTAGTGTCCCCCACTCCAGCCAGTCTCCACACCACCCAGCCTAGTATAGCGCCGCCCCCCCCCCAAGAGTGAGATGAGCCGCATCACCCCTCTGCCCCAGGTGGGAGGGCCTGCAGTTCCCGCTTACCAGTCTGTGTGGGCATCATCGATCACCAACAGGATCCTGGGCCTCTGAACAACAGGTGTGGAGGGACCCAGAGGCTCCATCAGCCCCGAGGGGGCCTGTGCAGTCTGCTTCATGGCGCTGGAGAAGGAGCTGAAAAGGCTGGACCCTGGAGAGGAGAAGGAGGCTGCCAGCGGCTGGGGGTGCCTCCGCTCCATGGCCGGGGAAGCGGGCGAGCTGGTGGAGGTGTCGGGGCGCTGCAGGTCTGTCATGTAGCCGTTGGGCAGGTTGGCCACGAAGCTGCTGTCAGACAGGCGTCGCCGGAGGAAATTCATGGCTGCGGGTGGATGAGATGGCTTGTTCTTCCTCAGACTGGTCGTACGTGAGGCCCAGAACACCAGGCCGCCAGGAGATGGAGTAGTGGGGTCTCGGAGCAGAGGGGCCTGGGGATCCTGCACGAGGCGGCTTCAGCTGTCTCTGTTTACGGGTGGAAACGAGTCAACACACAACATCAGTGGAAACCACCTCCACCCCGGAGAAGACGCAGATACGGCACCTTCCAGCCCCGATGCTGGGGCAACGCACAGCGGGGCCTTCTTTTGAAAAAGAGTTTGGCAGCGTGTAAGTAGAGCCCACCCTTTTAACCCACAAGTTCCATTTTCTAGAATTCTAGCCCAAGAAAGAAATCGGAGTTCCGGATGAAGCCTCCTGCACAAGTGTATTTACCCCGGGGTTATCTGCACTAGCAAAAGGCTGGAAAGGATCTCCAGTGTGCTCAGTCACAGCGTGACTGAATAAATAAACCACAGCACAATCACTCAGGGCAGCCTTTTGTGGCTATTTTTAAAGGGTACATAAAAAGGGATGTTAGTACCCCAAAATATTATGTTGTGAATAAAAAGATCAAGATACAAGATTATAGGTACAGAATGACTGCAATCACATGAAGTCTCAAATAACAAATGACGGAAAGAAAATACATTGGAACGTTAATGTTAACAGTGATTATATTTGGGTTGTGCAATTATACGGCTTCCCCCCATACCCGCCTTTGTGTCCACTGGTATAAGATTTATTATCTCTCCTCAGCCCTGGCTGGTGTGGCTCAGTGGATTGAGCTCCAGACTGCGAACCAAAGGGTTGCTGGTTCAATTCCCAGTTGGGGCACATGCCTGGGTTGCATTCCAGTTCCCTAGTAGGGGGCACATGTGAAACAACCACACATTGATGTTTCCCTCTTTCTCCCTCCCTTTCCCTCTCTCTAAAAATTAATTAATTAATTAATTTTAACAAAGATTTATTATCTCCCCTCAGAAAGTTCTCTTGGGCCCCTCTCTAGTCAATCCACACATCCTCATAGGCAAACACCAATTCTGATGTCTGTTATTAGGTATTAGTTTTATCTATATAAATGTAATCCCATGTATTATTTTTTTGTGCCTGACATCTTTCCCTCAACCCAATGGTTATGAGACTCAGCTATGCTGTATGTACCAACAGACGTTCTGTTTTTCATCCCACTGAGAAACATCCCACTGGATGAATAAACCAAATCGTTACTGCATTCTCTTGCTGATGGACACATGAGATGTTTCCAGTTTGGGGGAATTGTGAATAGAATAGTTACATAGATATTTTTTTTCATTTATGTATTTTTGTGTAAAGAAAGGAAGAGACTTTTCCTTTGGCAAAATACAAACCCAGAAGTTAATTTGTTAGGTTCTAGGGTAGGCATATGTTTAACTTTATAAGAAACTGTCAACAGTTTTCCCACAGTGGTTGTACTACTTTGCACACTTCATTTGAGAGTTCCAGTGCTTCACACCCTTATCAACTCTTGGTTATTAGCCTTTTTAGTCTTAGTCATTCTGATGGGTGTAAAATAGTATCCCATTGCATTTTTAATTCATTTTCTCTGATACCTAATAAGGTTGAGCAAGTTTTATGGGTTTCCTAACCATTGATATATCTTGTTTTGTGAAGTGACTGTTTAAGTCTTTGGCTCATTTTAAACAAGTGGACTGTTCATATTTTTATTATTTATCTGTAGGAGTTCTTGATACATTCTGGATATAAGTCTTTTGTCAGGTATGTATATTTTGAACACTGTCCCTTACTCTTTGACCTGTCACTTTATTTCCTTCATGAGCAGAAGATTGACAGAATAAAATAACTCTTAGAAAAAGTGAACTGTTACTTGAGATAAAAACATCCCAATGAAAAGAAATTATACCATGAGACCATACTTCCATATTTTGGTTATTAGGAATATTTTATATATAAATACAAATATACATGCATATATAAGTACATGCATAAAATCTGTTACACAGATCTGCAGATATTTTGTTAACAAATTTTAAATTTTTATGAAGTCCAATTTACCATTTTTTTATGGCTAGTCCTTTTATGTCTGTTCTTTAAAATCTTTGCCAACTTCCACATGATGCTGAATTGGTGCTAAAATTTCTTATAGTAACTTTAGAGTCTTAGCTTTTCTGCTTAGGTCCATAATCCATCCAAACTTGATTTGTGAGTGGTACGAGGTGAGGTTCATTTATTCGGTTTTCCAGCACCGTTTATGAAAATGTTTTTCCCCAGTGGATTTGGTAGCTTTGCTGAAACCAATGGACTGTGTTTGTGTGTGTATACACATATATGTATTTACATAAACATTTATATTTACATGTATTTATATATATATTTATGGACTCTTTATTATGCTCCATTGATGTTTATTCATCTTTACACCACCTTGATATAAAAGTCCTAAAATCAGGTATAGGGAGTGCTCCTACTTGCATTTTCTTTCCCAAGATTGTTTTGGGAATTCTACTTCCTACTTTTGAAAGCATTTTAAAGTCAACTTGTATGGAAAAAATCTGATGGAATATTGTTTGACATTTGGATAGAACTGGCTTCTCAATGATCTTGAATTTTCCACTTCATAAACATGGTAGAGGTCTCCAGTTATTAATTCCTTAGTTCCTCTCAAAAATGTTTTATGATTTCCAATATAGAGGTGTTGCACATGTTTCGTTAAATGGATTCCTAAGAATTTCTTTGCAGGGGGCGAAAGGATGATATTTTAAAATGGTTTTGTTTCATTTTCCATTTATTTGCTGCTAATACAATGTATTTGCCAATTACTGTCAACATATTGACCTGATAAATTCAACTATTGTGTCTAGTCATTGTTTACCAATGACTTAAGATTTCTATTTAAATAAGCATGTCATCTATGAATAGAGACATCTTTATTTCTCCCTTTCCAATTTTAATGCCTTTAGGTCTTCCACTTTTCCCTGTTACAATAGCAAGGACCACCCCACTCACTGCTGGACAGAAATGAAAACAGATGCCTTACTTTGCTCCCAACCGTGTGGGGAAAATGTTCAATAGCTGACGTTTCAGTAATGAGATGTTAGCTGTAAGTTTTCTGTAAATGCACTTTGTCACATTGAGACAGTTCCCTTACAGTCTTGGTTGGCTGGGAGTTTTTATCATGAATGGATGATAGATTTTCCAAGTGAGTTTCTAAATTGATTGAGAGGATTATGTTTTTAAAAATCATTTATTTGCTTAATGTGGTGAGTTGCACTGATTGACTTTCACTTGTTAAACCAAACTTGCATTCCTGGAATAAATTCCACTCGGTCATTGTGCATCATCCCTTTCACAGACTGCTGACTTCAATCCCATAATACTTTATTGAGGATTTGGGTGCCCATGTTCATAGTAAACAATGGTCTGTAATTTTCTTTTCTGGTGATGTCTTTGCCAGGTTTTGGTAGCAGGGCAATGCTGACTTCACAAAATATGTTGGGAAGTATTCGCGCCTTTTCTATTTTCTAAAGGAGTTTGTGTAATGTTGGTATTTTTTCCCTAAATTATTGGCAGAATTCAACAGTGAAGCCATCTGGGGCTAATTTTCTTCTTTGTTGGAAAGGCTTTAATAATGAATTAATTCCCTTTCATAAATCTATTTTTATGCTCTGTTTCTTGTTATTTCAGTATTGGCAATATGTGATTTTGTCCATTTCATCTTCGCTGTAAATTTTATTGGCATAAAGTTATTCATAATAGTTCTTTATTACCCTTTGATTTCTGTAGGCTATGTACTAATCATCCCTGATATTACTGATAATGTTAATTTGTCTTTTCGCTCTTTTTGAGTAAGCTGTGTTGCTATGAATTTATAAATTTTATTAACCTTTTAAAAACTAACTTGCAACTTTTTCTATTTTCTCCATTATTTGTTTCTATTTCCCTTATATCTATTCTGTTATTTCCTCTCTTCTCTTTACTTTGGATTTAAGGGTTTAATTGGTTCTTCTTTTTTCTAGATGCTTAAGATGAAAACATACATCATTAATTTTATACCTTCCATCTTTTCTAATATAAACATCGAAAGCAATGTAGTTCCCTTGATGCACTGCTTTCGGGAATGCCAGAAATCTTAGACACATTTTCATTATTGTTCAATTTATTCTTAATTTCTTTGTGATTCCTTTTTGACCCATGTGTTATCTAAACATATATTTAATTTAAAAATTCCAGTGTTCTTTCAGATCTTGCATTTTATTATGTTTGACGCGATTCATTTATGATGAACACACATAATGTATAACATTTTAATGCTTTGACATTTACTGAGATTAATTTTATGGCTCAATGTGCTCTATCTTAATTCATGTACCATGTGCACTTGAAAAGAATGTGTATTTTGTGGCTGTTGAGTGTAATGTTCTATAAATATCAATTAGCTTGTTGTAAGCCAGCTTTCCGAATCAGGAAGCCGACTTTGCTGCAGTGATTTACGAGAAGGAGGATGATGGAGAAGCCCATGATTAAGTACTGCGGGCGGGTTTGCAAAGCAGAAATGGGCTGAAAGAGGGGTTGAAGCATAGTACAGTTCCAACGGAGGTCTCACTTGAGCTACTGGGAAGCACGGAACTGGGACTTCCCTTAGATCCCATTTTCCTGCTGCCCTCTGAGCCTATGCTCTGGAGCCCGAGTGGTCAAACCACTACAAACTGCAGTCTCCTGCTGCAGTGCCCACTGCTCGGTGCCACATGGGCTGGGGAGAGAGTCCTTTCAAGGAAGAGGCACGTAAGTGTGGGTCTCATATAGCGGTTCTCTTCTTTCGAGGATCAAATCCCTTCCTTACTCTACCTATTTTTTTCTCTCCAGCAATTCACATAGTTTCTTTTAAACATTTTCTCATAAACATTCTCATAAACATAGCCAAAGTTTATAGTTATCATCTATAAAGAACAATGGAAGTTATTGAGTCACCACTGGAACGAAGTCTCATTTTTAAAAGGCTAAACAGGAAAGTAACAGAATGTTAGAGCTGGAAAGAACTTAGAGATTATTTAAGAAGCCCTTCTTTAGGAAATCTGGCCCACCTTACATTGGTGGGAATTCCCTACCCTCAGAGGAATCACCTCATTATCTTTTGTTACTCGAAGCCT